TAAAGGAAATTGAGCAGCCATGGCATTATTCTGCTGTTTGTGTGCTGCATAAATTGAGTTAAATAGAGCCAATCCTTGTCCTACACAATTAAGTGCTTAGTGGATATTATTAAAGGCATTAAGGTTTTTAAAGTAAAACAAGGAAGTAATTTGTATGCCATCAGGCAAGTTTAGTTTGGCATGAGCCTTCTGAGAGCAAACTTGATAAAGAGAGAATGGAAGGAACAGGATGCACTCCTGCAGGGTGGCAGGCAGAGCAAAGAATGCACAAAGTTGAGGCCAGGACTGGTAGCCCAGATACACTTCTTTTGTCTTTTACAAAGAAACAATTTTAACATTAATGCTAAAATTCTCATGATTCAAATTTCTTTCATGCAGAGTGCCTGGTGTTTATTTCTATTAAGTGTGTCACCCTGGAACAACTCCTTCACCAGTGGTTAGCTGGAGCAAGCCTTTCAGGGAACATGGAATGAAGTTTTCCATGAACCTAAATGTGTTGTATTTTTAACTTTAAAACCTTTTATTTATAATAATAATAATAATAATAATAATAATAATAATAATTCTTGCTGTTACTATTATTATTATTATGTGTGTAGGTCAGAGGGCAGTTTTTAGGAGTTGATTCTCCCAGTCAACATTTATGTGGGTTTCAGGGATTGAACTCGGAGTCTTCAGAGTTTGCATGGCCAGGCTGCAAATCACCCTCATCTGACTGGCCCCAGTAAGAGCTTTTAACTTGGTAAAATTTCAGAAGAAATTGTTCTGATTTTTGAGACTCAGATCTTTGGAAACTGTTATTTTGAAGCTCTTGACGGTTGATCGGAACCTTTAGTTGCTCAGTATGTCAGAGAGACTCCTCAAGGAAAGAAGGTAGCCATTTGGGGTCAGATCAGCTGGATTATTCCTCCTGGTGTGTGTGGCTGCTGATGCCAGCAGAGATGAAGATGTGTCATCCTTATTAGTATCCAGGAAACCATGGCAACAGATAGAGATCAATGCCAGTGAAGATGAAGATGTGTCATCCTCATTAGTGTCCAGGAAACCATGGCAACAGGTAGAGGTCATCATCCTCTCATAGGAGAGGAGCAATGTCTGGGATTAATGGTAAGATCTGCTACAGCACCACCCATACTGGAGCATTCTTTAAAAAATTAGAGTTACTATTTTATGAGTATGAGCATTTTGTCTATGTGTATGTATGTATACCGTGTGTGTGCCTGATACATGAGGATCAGAAGAGGGAGTTTGATCCCCTGAGACTGGAGTGAGCAGCCATATTGGAGCTGGGAATTGAACCTGAGTTTTCTGCAAGAGCACCAAGTGCTGTTAACCATTGAGCCAGGCCTCTCTATCCTTAAGCACTTATGTAAGATGAATGCATGATTCAGGGAACAGTAGCAAATGCTTGCTAAGACCTTGAAGCTTAAGTTATATAAGCAGTACTCCAGGAAGGGTCCTGTGCTTTTATACTATCCCTCAAACCATTCTCTTGCATGGATCCTCTCATGGATCCCTCCCTCCCTTCCATTCCATTCTCTCTCTCTCTCTCTGTCTCATTTTGTCTTGATGACTAGTAGTGTGTGTGTTCACACTGTTTACATACTAGTTCACACTCACATTTAGTCTCAAGGGTAGATCAGATTATTGAATGTATTAGAAAATGCTTCTCATACTTGATTGTGTGTGTAAATCAGGGATATTAGGAAAAGTGCAGCTTCTGATTTAGTCCACCCCTCCCCACACACACACTATACAAGGTTTCAATACCTAGCCCTGCCTAGTCAGGTTTCAATACCTAGTCCAGGAACTTAACTATGTAGACCAGCTTGGCCTCAAAGTCAAGGTGACCTGCTGGTCTCTGCCTCCAGAGTGCTGGGATTAAAGGTGTGTGCCACCACACCCAGCTTTTCTCTCTGTATCTGGGCTTGGTTGTGCAGGCCCATGATCCCAACTACTCTGGAGAATGAGGCAAGAGGATTACAAATTCAAGGTCTGCCTGGGAAACTTAGAGAGACGCTGCCTCAAAATAAAAAAGTAAAAACAGCTGGGGTGATATCTCAGGTTGAATGATTACACAGCCTGTATAAATCCTTGTGTTCAGTCCTCAGTGCCACAGAAAATAAAAAGCACTCAAATTGCCTATAGGACTTGAAATAATATAAATGGTACATGTCTTAGTTGCTGTTCTGTTGCTGTGAAGAGACACCATGACCAGGGTAGCTCTCATAAAAGAAGAATTGATGTCGGGCTTGCTCACAGTTTAAGAGGATTAGTCCATTATTATCAGGGCAGGAAGCATGGAAGCACACAGGCAGGCATGACATGGTACTGGTGTAGCTGATCTGCAGGCAGCAGGCAAAGACAGACACACTGGCCTGGCATGGACTTTTGAAGCCTCAAATCCCAACCCCCAGTAACACACCTCCTCCAACAATGCCAATCCTAATACCTGACAGCTCATCAACTGGAGACTAAGCATCCAAATCTGTGAGCCTATAGGGGCCATTTTCATTCAACCAACCAGAGCATATGAATTGTATATATACTGTATTGTTAGGGACCGATGACAAGAACAACCAGTAGTACCTATTCAGTACAGATACGTTTCCCTCTTTGAGACAGGATCTTATGTATTCCAGGATGGCCTTGAACTCTGTAGAATGAGTTTGAACTTTTGATTTTCCTGCTTGTATCTCTTTAGTGCTGGGATTGCATCATCTATCACCAAGTCCAGTTTCTGTGGTGCTGGGCCTTAAACCTAGGTCATAGTGCATGTTTAGGCAAGAAGTGTGCCAGTGAGCTACACCAGCCCCTAGATACACCCTCCCAGATGTTTTCTATCTGTGACTGGCTGAATTTGCAGCTGTAAAAAACAACCCTGGTATATGGAGATCCAGCTGTAGTACTTAATCCAGTCACTAGATTCCTGGTGCCACTCCATAGAAGTCAGTGCCATAATCCCCTGCGGAAGTTAAGAACACAGGAGCCATACATACATGCATAGATATTCTGAATTGGGAGGTCTGGAATCTTTGAGCCAACCCTGTAAGAATGTTCCTTATCAGTAGTTATCAGGTTTCCCCCAGTACTAAATGAAGAAGAGGGGACAATAAGATAGATAAGCCAGCCCCAGTACCTGCTTGTCTTCCAGACCCTTATCTGGTTCTCCTCTTGTCTTTCTTTGTGCTCAGGACACCGTGAGGAATGAAAGTGTCATGAAGTCAACAGTATAGTCTAGCTTGGTAGGTGAGTAGTGCTGTATAGGGCAGGGGGCCATGTGTCTGTATCATATCAGTGCCAGGCTCTTGGCCTTGATTCCCCAGGAAGTGTAAGACAGCCTGCGTGTTCCTGAGAAACATCTGAGGCATCATGAAGTTACTGTGCAGTTAGGTGCTGCCAGGGGGGGCATATATGGCCTTGCAGCTCAGTGCCAGTTGGTGACTAGCTACACTAGCTATCTGTGTGTATCTTTTGAGACTCTAGTCACTAGCTAACAGTCAGAGACCTACTTGGGGACATTAGACCCTAGAAGACTTGAGGAACACGGAAAGGCATTACCAGCTTTGTTTTGGTTGGCTTACAAAATGGAGGACTGAGTATTTATCGTTATTTTTAGTTATGTCCTAAATAATCTAAGGAATATATATATATATATATATATGTGTGTGTGTGTATATATATATATATATACATATATATATATGTGTGTGTGTATACATACATACATACATACATACATACATACATACATACATAGGCTTTTCAAGACAGGGCTTCTCTGTGTAACGGCCCTGGTTGTCCTGGAATTCACTTTGTAGACCAGACTGGCCTTGAACTCACAGAGATCCACCTGCCTCTGCCTCCCAAGCTCTGGGATTAAAGTTGTGCGCCGCCACCACCCAGCTAAGGAATATATTCTTAAGTCAATTTAATGATTGTTTTGTATATGAGAATGATAGATGACTCTAACCTAGTTTTATATGTGGACTAAATGCCCTGTACTGTATTCAGGATACCTATAAAGTGTTTTTACAGTAAATGTCATCTTTGTCTCTTCATATTTTAATGAAAAATGTGTAATAACCTATAAGTAAAGGAATATGGCTTATTAGTTAATACAGTATCATGGTATATACTTTATTGTGTTTTTTATATTGACATGTATAAGTGGCCGAGACTACTTATTTATTTTGGTGCTGAAACTCAGAAACAAGCACAATTTAATTTTGAGTCCTCTCCATAGTGATAGGAGCTTCTTTTCCTCCTCCTCCTTTTGGTTTTGTTAGAAAGAGGGTCTCATTCTGTAGCCTAGGCCAGTCTCTATCTTTTGGCAGTCCTCTACTTGGCCTCCTAAGTGCTACCACAGGAGTATGCCACCATGTGCAGCAGATGCCATCACTTTGTATCTTAAATGTATCCCCTGTAGAACTTCAGAGGCAGTCGAAGACCTCATATGGGCTTCAGTTACATGAAACGTACAAAAATAGAAACACTTATACCCAAGATAGATTATAAAATGTTTACACATTTTGTTTGTTTTGTCCTTTTTGAGGCAGGATCTCGATGTGTACTCCTGACTGGCTTGGAACTCACTGGCTTCAAGCTTAGAGATCTGCTTGCCTCTCCCTCCTGAATACTACTAGTAGTATTAAAGGTGTGCACTACCACACCTGGCTTCTGCACTGTATTTTTATTAAAAATGCAGTTGTGTGTCACAAAACAGATCTGTGTCCAACTCTTGGAATAGAGTATGGCTCCTGCACTTATATGAAAATTAGTATAAGTGTGGTTAATCTAAGTTTTTGTTTGTTTGTTTGTTTTTCAGGACAGGATTTCTCTGTATTGTTTTGGAGCCTGTCCTGAAACTCACTTGGTAGGCCAGGCGGGTCCTGAACTCACAGAGATCAGCCTGTCTCTGCCTCCCTAGTGCTAGGATTAGAGGCATGAGCCACCAACGCCTGGCCTCTAAGTTTCAAATTTTATTTTTTCCTTTGCAGATTGAATCCCTCTCTGGAACTGGTAAATGTTTTTTACCAGAGGAAACGTTTCCTGTCCAGTAAAGTCAATGGCTTAACTTCGGCAAATACTGGTGTGACTTTGCTTCTGCTATGCTCCACGAAGCTTGAGTCTGAAGGATACAGTGCTTTTTGTGATGACAATATGACTCACAGTAAAGGAAGATCTGTCACTTGCAAGACAAGTGGCAGTCCAGATAGTGGAGGAGGTTTTGTAGATTGGACTTTAAATTTAAACACAATTCAGTCTGACAAGTTTTTGAACTTACTTTTAAGTATGGTGCCAGTCATTTACCAGAAGAACCAGGAAGACAGGCATAAAAAAGCAAATGGCATTTGGCAGGATGGACTGTCAGTTGCAGCCCAGACCTTCAGCAAGAGGTCAGAGCCACATCTGGACTACCACGAGTTCTCAGAGCAGGCTTTCCACAGCAGCAGTGGGCATGCTCCAGCCAGCTGCAGCCCCAAATATGACGACTATGCCAGCTATAACTACTGTGATGGGAGGGAGGCTTCAGAAACCACAGCCATGTTACAGGACGAAGATCTGTCCAGTGAGGGTGATGATGTTATTGTGGAAACAAACCAGAAGCTACCCAAGGAGTCTAGTGGCATCATGGCTCTGCAGATACTCGTGCCATTCTTGCTGGCTGGGTTTGGAACAGTCTCTGCCGGCATGGTTTTGGACATAGTACAGGTGAGTTTTCATCTTTAGTTTCTGTGTGCGTGCGTGCGTGCGTGCGTGCGTGCGTGCGCGCGCTTTTGCACATGGGCTCCAGTGCACTAGAGGCCAACCTTGGATGTCTTCCTTAGTTGCTTTCCACTTGTTTTGTGAGGCAGGGTCTCTCACTTCTACCTGGAAGTTACTGACTCAGTTGGCAGCTGGTGACACTCTAGGGGTCCAGCCTGTCTCTGTCTCCTCAGCATTGGGATTATGAGTGTGCCACTGTGCTTGACTTTCTGGATTTTTAATTCATTCATTAATTAATTTGAAACAAGAATTTCCACATCTCCCTGGCCATCCTGGAACTCACTATGTAGACCAGGCTGGCCTTGAACCCACGGAGATCCAGCTGCTTTTGATTCTGCCTCCCAAGTGTTGGGAATAGAGGTGTGTGCTATCCCTCCCGACTAGCTTTCTTTTTTGTCAACATAGGTTCTGAGGATTGAATCTAGGTCCTTATGCTTTACTCGCTCCAACCCTTCCCCTTCTCTCCCCTCCCCTCTTTCTTCCCCTCTCCTTCTCCTCTTCCCCTCCACTCCCCTCCCATCCTCTCCCCTCCTCTCCGTTCTCCTTCCTTCTCTTTTCCTTTCCTCCTTCATTGCCCCTGTCTGTCAATAGGGTATTGTAAGACCCCCCGGAAAGCTCAGGCTTCCAGTATCTTAGCCCAGGACCAAGGCCACCTCAATCACTAGGCTGAGTCGAAAGCTTGATGCAAACTGCATGAGGCTTTATTATTGTTTAACTAGCTAACCCCATGTTAGCTCTGGTCTTTCACCCATCCACCATTGTGGATGGCTACAAAAGACAGTTCGAAGCGGTTGCATAGAGATCTTATAGGGCAGCGTAAGGGGAGTGTCTAGGGGTATGCACAGGCTCAGGATTGGTGTGCCTCCAGGCTTGGAGTGCTTGCCCTGTGTTGATTGGCCAACTGGTTGTTATGGCCCATAGGTCCTCCCAGGGCAGTTGCTATGCTCTGCATGTCATTGCTGTGCGCTTGTCAGTAAAGCACACCCAGAGCCATAAAGCATAGCACCACCAGCTAACTTCTGATTGGTTCCTTGCCACAAGGCAGGCATCTGACCTCTAAGTGACCAAGGCAAGCATGTGTTCAGCTGTTATGGCTGCTGAAATGGGGAGCTGGCCCCTTCACTATGTGGATCACAAGTTTAAGGCTGACCTGGGCTATAATAGTGAGTTAATAACCAGCCTGAGCCAACTTAAAAACTCAAGCCACATAGCAATGTGGCTCAGTGGTAGAGTGCTTTCCTAGGATGTGATAGGCTGTGGACTCCTCCATCTTGAGCAATGCTGAAAAAGAACAAAAAAGTATGACACAGTCAATCTTAGGAGCCCCAGGGTTAGTTAGCTTATTAGTGTTAGCTGTAGAATGGGATACAGTGGTAACAGATGTTGAGCCAACTACAGCTGACTCTTCTAAAGTCATTCAGATAGTGACCTCAGGAGGGTACAAGTTCACTGATTAGATAACCTGTGCTGTCTTTAAAACTTGGAAGCAAAATCAGGTGAGGTGATACGCACCTTAATCTCTGTTCCCAGGAACCAGAAGCAGGCGGGTCTCTGAGTTTGAGGCCAGGCTGGTCTACATACTGAGTTTCAGTCCAACCAGGGCCACGTGGTGAGACTCTGTCTCTATAGCAGTGACAACAACAAAATGGAGAAGCAAATTTGGAAGTAAAACCCTGGGGTCTTTAGAAACGCCCTTGTTCTAATGAGTGGTTGTTTTCTTTTGTTTCATAGCATTGGGAGGTGTTCAAGAACGTGACAGAAGTTTTCATTTTAGTCCCTGCACTTCTTGGTCTCAAAGGGAACTTGGAAATGACACTGGCTTCTCGATTATCCACTGCAGTAAGTTTTCCTACTTCCTTTTATGTGCATCAGTCCTCTCTACTTAGAAGAGCCTGTGTGATTTGTAGGTTGCAGACCTCCGAGTTATGCTGAATACTTTTGACTTACATGGTGCCATGAAAGTTCCTGGCGTTCTCTCATCTGAGAATATAAACCTGCTTTCCCATATCACCTGAAGCAGCAATATGTTTGCCTCCTTTGATGCCAGGCCATGTTAGCAGCTGTTAGGGTGCAATGCATGGAGTAGGCAAATTCTGAGAATATATAGGTCTGTGATTGGTAGAGTTGAAAGTAGAGCTGGAATCCTATGTATTTGCTTCCATAATCTGACCAATTAAAATATATACTGCTGATCTTTTTATGTCAGTTAATCCATATCATAAATTTATTGGCTATATGCTTTTTCTTTTTCAGATAGGGTCTCAAATTTGCTATGTAGATCAGGCTGAACTCACAGAGGTCCTCCTGCCTCTGCCTCCTAAGTCCTGGAATTAAAGGCATGTGCCAACACACACATGGCTATATCCTTTTATATTATATAATCCCACAGTTCGATTTATCATCTGTTATTGGATATATAAACACTTTCTAATGGTGTCATTATAAATGAGTTGGAGAAATGACTCAAAGATTAAGAGCCCTTACCTACATTAACTACGAGTAGACCTCCAAGATCTGTCCATTGGGGAATAGCAGACAGCATGAATCTCTCCAGCCTTTCCCCAAGTATCTGAATAAAGTGTTTTGACTCCAGAAAAAAAAAAAAAAAAGAACACTTATTTTGGTTTCTGCTACGTGGCAGGTCATAACTATCCATAACTACAGCTCCAGGAGATCTGATGCCTTCTTCTGGCCTATAGGTACCAATCATGTGGTATGCATACACTCACAAATAAATAAGTAATGCTGAGCCGGGTGTTGGTGGCACACGCCTTTAATCCCGGCACTCGGGAGGCAGAGGCGGGCAGATCTCTGTGAGTTCAAGGCCAGCCTCATCTCCAGAGTGCCAGGATAGGCTCCAAAGCAATACAGAGAAACCCTGTCTCGAAAAAAACAAAAAAAAAAAAAAAAAAAAAGTAATGCTGAATATCCTTCCTTCCTTCCTTCCTTCCTTCCTTCCTTCCTTCCTTCCTTCCTTCCTTCATTCCTTCCGTTTTTAAGCTAGGGTGTCTCTCTGTAGCCATGGCTGGCCTGGAACTCATTATGTAGTCCAAACTGACCTTAAAATCAGAGATCTTCCTGCCTCTGTCCCAAGTGCTGGGACGCACCACCATACCTGTCATGGCAAATAATGCAAGTGAATGACAGTGCAGGCATAAATCCAAAGTAAAAATGAGGTAGAACAGACCAATTATTAGATACTGATTTATTGATTTATGTAGTGATTTACTTAAAGCATAGCTTATACTGCATATTTGCCAAGCATGACTTCACTTGGTACCCGAAACAGAATCACCTGGAAAAAATACCTGAAACAATGGGTCATTGTCCTTAACAGCCTGCTGACTGCCATGTAAGCTTCTGTAAAACTTGCTTGCTTGCCTGCTCCACCTTGTGGTTTTAGTGTGTAAAATGAGAAAGCAAACTGGAGCTGTCCTGGCTGTGGTCACTGGTGACCTCTCATCTCTTCCACTCTCATCGGTGCTGGAGTGCTTATTCCAGAGCTTCTCATAACAGGTCATTTCAGATATCAGTAAGGGAGTGAAGGAAATCCAGAGAGGCCATGTGGTGAAGGGTCATTCAGGAGGGCAGCTTCAGATCCCTTCTACAGAGATCACTGATGCATATACAGAGACCACCCTTCTGAGAAGACCATGAGTAAGCTGGAACCTGAACAGGGGGAGTGAGTTGACCATGTCAGGACCTCAGGAGAGAAGACCATTCTGCAAACCACTTAATCGGTGTGATCATGTCAGTGGTTTTTGAATTTAAAAAAATCTATGTATGAATATTTTACTTGAATGTATACATATGCACAGTGTGTGCCTAGTGCCCCCAGAGTCCAGAAGAGGGCATCAGATTCCTTGGAACTGCAGTTATAGATGGTTGAACATGCTTTCTCTGCAAGAGCAACAAGTGTTCTTAGCAGCTGAGACATCTCTCCAGTCCCAATGTCAACTCTTCATAAGATCTAGATAGATCTTCTTTGTCATTTTGATTTTATTTATTTATTTATTTATTTATTTATTTTGGTTTTTCAAGACAGAGTTTCTCTGTAGCTTTGGAGGCTGTCCTGGAACTCGATTTGTAGACCAGGTTGGCCTCGAACTTCACAGATATCCTCCTGCTCTGCCTCCGGAGTGCTGGGATTAAAGGCATGTGCCACCACTGCCAGGCCTATTTTGATTTGTTTTCTAGACAGGGTCTCACTATGTAACGTTGACTGTCATAGAACTCACCATGTAGACCAGGATGCTCTCAAACCTGTCTCTGCCTCTGCCTCTGCCTCCTGAGTGCTGGGATTAAAGATGTACCCCACCATGCCCAGCTTAGATATGGCTTCGTTAACAGTTGGGCTTGGGGCAAGAATACACTGGAGACTCATGATATATATTTACACAGTTTAAGATTATATAAACTTGTAAACTTTACAAATTTTACTCTTTTGTTTGTTTGTTTTTTCCAAAACAGGGTTTCTCTGTGTAGCTCTGACTGTCTTGAAATTTGCTATGTAGACCAGGCTGGCCTTAAACTTAGAGATTTGCCTGCCTCTGCTCCCTGATTGCTGGGACAAAAGGCATGTGCCACCATTGCTCAGGAATTCATGATTTTCCTGGGTTCTGTTCTGGAACATGCTATTGTGGAGAGTGCCAGACCCTGCTCTAAGGTTTGCATCTCCTTCACTCCCGCCCTTGGTTTCTACTCAGCACTTGGAAAACCCTGAGAGCATAGCATTCAGGAGGCTAAGGCATGGGGATTGTTGTGAGTTTGAGGCATGTCAGGGTTACACAGAAACACCTTCTCAAAAAGCAAAATACTAACAAGAGGCTAGACAGATGGCTCAGGAGTTGAGTACTTGTTACGCTTACAGAGGACCTGCTCTTGATTCCCAACACCAACATGGGGGTTGACAGTCATCTAACTCCAGTTCCAGGGGCTCTGGCATCCTCTTCTGACCTCTGAGAGTACTGGGTATACATGTGGTACGTAGGTATACATGCAGAGTGCCTTAGTCACTGTTCTTTGCTGTGAAGAGACACCATGACTAAGACAACTGGTATAAGAGAGAGCATTTAACTGTGGGCTTGCTTATAGTTTCAGAGGGTTAGACCATTATCATCATGGTGGGGAGCTTGGTGGCATGCAAGCGTGTACTGGAGCAGTAGCTGAGAGCTATGACATGATCCACAGGGAGAGAGACTCTGAACTTGTCATGGAATTTTGAAACCTCCAAGCCCACCCCCAGTGACACACTTCCTCCAACAAGGCCACACCTCTTAATCCTTATAATCCTTTCAAATAGTGCCACTCCCTGGTGACTAAGCATTCAAATATATGAGTCCATGGAGCCATTCTTATTGAAACCACCACACAGGCAAAACACTTTTACATATAAATCTAAAAGCAAGACAAAGAAACAAGCAACAACAACAAAACCCCAATGAGATGGAGCTAGATCATGAGTTTAAAGTTTAAAGGTGTTATGTGACAAGTTCCGGTCCAGCTTAGGTTACATCATCAGATCCTGCCTCATGATGTAAAACCAGCAACCAGCCAGGAGTGGTGGCATGTGCTTTTAATGCCAAGCACTCAGGGCACAGAGGCAGGTGGATTTTATGAGTTCAAAGCTAGCCTGGTCTACGTAGATGTTCCAGGACAGCCAAAACTATATAATGAGACTGTCTCAAAAAAAAAAAAAAAAAAAAAAAAAGGGGGGGAAAAAAGGAAGGAAGGAAAAGTCGGTAACACCAAACCCTCCACACCCCTCACCACAGTGACAATAGAAAAACAACATGGGTTGTGTCAGGGTGGCTGAGTGATCTAAGGCACCAGACTCAAGTGCAGCTTCCTTGAAAGAAAACCAACATGGAAGAGAAGCTGTGCCTTTAAAAGGATTACTTAAACAGAAAGCTCTTAATATCGTTCTCTGGAAAAGCAGTGTGGGCATAATAGGACTTGCAAATAGCCAGTCATTACTTGCAGAGAAAGCAGTTATTTTTCTGGAAACTTCTGGAATAACCAGAGGTGTGCTTGGAAGAGGATGGGGTGTTTCATGATGTATGACAATTAAAGTCTGTTATTCTACTTTTGAAAAGACTCCAAACTGTCCTGGTGCTGACACGTGGGCAGAAACTTATTCTTTTCTTCCTCTTCTGCTCCTGTATTGTTATTTTCAAAACCAAGGTTTAAAGATACATTTTTCTCAAGTGATGATGTGATACAACAAATACATTAAAAAATCTTAAAATACAAAAAATAAGTTGGGGGTGGAAAGATAGCCCAGTGGGCAGAATGCCTGCCTTACAAGCATGAGGATCCAAGTGTGGTCAGTCCAGAACCTGGTTTTTAAAAATGATAGGTATGATGGTGCATGCTTGTAATCCCAGAACTGGGGAGGCAGAGACATTTTTTCAGGCTGTGAGACACCTTGTCTGGAAAACAAAGTGGATGACACCTGGGGCATGACATCTGAAATTGTGCCCTGGCCTGAACATGCATGTACACACAGTGGCTTGTGCACCTGCACACACAAAAGCCCATGCGTGCACACACACATGCACACACACATGCACACACACATGCACACACACAATCTAATAATGAAATCTTGATGAATGCTTAAAATTTTAATGATTTCTTAAAGCAATCTAATAATGAAATCTTGATGAATGCTTAAAATTTTAATTTCATGCTTATTCATTACATGCTGAATTAGGGCTTTACTACTTGATCATTTGGCATCCAGATGGAATGTGTGTTGGTTATACCTCCAGCCTTTGCCTTTAAGAAGGAAAAACAAAAAGCATATGTGTTCTACTGTGGCTTTGAGGAAGGACATGAGGATTGCCTAGACCCTAAGCCAGGGGGTGTCTTCTAGGAGAACCTGAGGGAGGTTTTGAGAACCCAGAGTGGAAGCATTTAAGGAGGAAGAATGCTACTGGAAGGGAACTAAAAGGTGGCTTTTGCCTCACTTGTTGCATGGACTTTGTTGTGATAAATACAGTTAAACATACAGGTTTTTAAGCAACTTGATCATTTTGCCAGGAATAGTGAAGTTTTGGTTCAATTTTCTCAAAGAACATTGTTCTAAAAGCATTTGTTGTTCTTGATCCTTGTCCAGCATTTGTTTAGATTCATAAAAAATAAGCTATGCCATTCTATTTTGAAATAGGTCATTCTGTAAGGCATAGGTGGCCAAAGGGCTAAAGCAAAGTGACCAGTCTATCACTGTAAGTTAGGCTAAAGATGGTGTTGATTTGGATTATGGTGGCAGGAGAGGATGTGGTGAAATTGTTGGGATCTAGAACTAATTGCCAAAGAATGGCAAAAGACTGTAGAGTAGTCATTCTAAATTCCTTTACCTGAAGATGGCAGAACAACAGGTTAGTCAGTGGAAAAGTGCGAGCTGGTGGCAGTGCGCTGAGTCATAGTCATTACCAAGAGAAGCCGAGCTCACGTGTATGAGGCTGAGTTTGCGCATCCTTAGGTTGTCGGCTGGTAAAGTAACTCCATGTTAGTGACTTCTTAGGGACAGCCTGAATCTCACCTTTTCTAGACTCTTTCTCCACTCTCTCCATTCTGTGTTGCTGCTCCCTCACATCTTTTGTTGCTATTTCTTCTACTTGTTTTCATTTATTTCTCTTTGCTCTTTTTCATAATTTGAGGGTTTAACAACATTTAATTAAAATGTAATTACATTATTTCCCCCTTCCTTTTTCTTCCTTATGTCATGTCTGCCCACATCCATACTCCCTCACAAATTCATGGTCTCTTCTTTTTTAATGTACATTGGTGTTTTGCCTGCATGTATGTCTGCGTGAGGGTGTTGGAACCCCTGGAACTGGAGTTACAGAAAGTCTTGAGCTGCCATGTGGGTGCTGGGAATTGGAAGAGCAGCCAGCACTCCCATGTCCTCGTCTTCTTTAATCCTTGTTGTTATATGTGCATACACACAAACGGAAACACAGCTCATGAGCCCTTTTAGTGCTGCCTGATGCACGTGTTTCTAGGACTGACTGCTTGACACTGAATAAGCAATTAGGAGACTCATCCCTGGGAAAGACTAGTTTTTCCTCTCTCAGCAGTACTTGCCTATAGCTCTTCATCTAGGGGCCAGCCCCATGAGACTTCCCCCATCTACATTGGGATGGCAGCTGGTGTTAGGATTGTTCAGGTCTTGTTCAGGCAGCCATGTTGTTGAGATTTCATGGGTGTAGCTTCCCTGTCTAGATAAAGGACACCATTACACAGCAGACCCCTTGTTCTCTGGTTCTTAGAATCTTTTCACCCCTTCTTTGATGGGCCTTTTCATGTCAGTGTGCTGTAGATATATTCACTGGGGTTAGGTATCCTATGGCCAGTTGTTCTCTGCATTTTGAACAGTTGTGTGGTTTTCTGTAATGGTCTCTGCTGCAGAAGAATCTTCTTGGATGAGGGCTGAGCTCTATACTTGTGTGTGGCTTAAGGGTAACTATTTAGAGTGCAGTTAGGAATTATACTGGTTTAGGAAAGTGCTGGAAATAGGTTCCTCTTTAAGATCCATGACCTCATCAGCCATGCGTAGTCTGTGTACTTGTGGTAATGTAAAGGTTGCTGGTGCGATGACCAGAGAAACAGCCTCAGCACTGGGGTGGGGAGAGAGCTGTGTGAACTTGGCAAGGGGATGTCTGGATGCTCACTGTTTCTGACTGCCTTCCAAAAGTCATGACCTCCCCCTCTCTTGTGTTTTCCCAGTTTTAGATAGTTTCTGCCATGGATGTTGTGTGGACAGGAATTCTGTGGAATGTAGCTCCCACCTGGGAAGAGTTGGATAGTGATGGTATCAAGTTAATCTGCCACCGATTTCCTTAGCCAGTAATCTCATTCTCTCCCTGTGCCACCCTTGATCTCTTATAGACCCTAATACATGGGTGCCTCTGCTGCTTATGTTAGACCCCCGAAAACTCAAGTATCCGGGGTCCCAGGCCACATTCGTGGTCCCCCCAATCACCAGGCGGATTCGAGAGCTTGCTGCAAACTGCACGAGGCTTTATTGTAATTTAACGAGCTACCCCCATGTTTGCTGGGGTCTGGCCCCCACCTGCCATGGCGGACAGCTAGAAAAGACGGCTCCTAGGGTCTCCCAAAAGATCTTATAGGGCAGCGTAAGGGGAGTGTCTAGGGGTACGCACAGGCTGACGCACAGGCTCACGATTGGTGTGCTTCCAGGCTTGGAGGGCTTGCCCTGTGTTGATTGGTCAACTGGTTGTTAGCGCCCATAGGCCCTCCCAGGGTGGTTGCTATGCTCTCTCCGTCATTGCTGTGTGCTTGTCCGTAAAGCACACCCATAAAGCATAGCGCCACCAGCTAACTTCCGATTGGCTCCTTGTCACGAGACAGGCATCTGACCTCTAAGTGACCAAGGCAGGTTTATGGCAAGCACGTGTTTGGCTGTTATGGCTGCCAAAAGGGAAGCTGGTTCCTTCACTTATTAGCAACTGGAGGCTTTATGTCTAATGCTTTTTTATGGAGCTAGTTGTCTTAGGTTTCTAACTATAGCCATCAGCATCTTTTTGTTTTGTTTTGTTTTTCCAGACAGGGTTTCTCTGTATAGCTTTTGGAACTCACTGTCCTGGAACGCACTCTGTAGACCAGGCTGGCCTTGAATTCACAGAGATCCACCTGTCTCTGCCTCCCAAGTGCTGGTATTAAAGGTGTGCGCCACCAATGCCCGGCATCAGCATCATTTTTAATGAGTTACTGAAAATGCACACCAATCTTTGCCTTCCTCTTCAGCTCTAACTCTGAGGTGGATTCACTCTTTAAACATTGCTCTTTTGAGTAGAGCTGCAGATTGTTAGAGCTATAAACATGACTGAATCGATAACTATTGTCAGGTTTAGTAAATAGATCTATAAAGACTACATGAATAATTATTCTAACACACTGAGAAACCTCAATATTTGCATTATTAGCTGGATACTTTGAGGCCAAAGTCCACAGGGAGAATAAAAAAAAAATGGTTTCTAAATTGAATAGATGGCATCTTTTTTTTTTTTTTGGTTTTCGAGACAGGGTTTCTCTGTGGCTTTGGAGGCTGTCCTGGAACTAGCTCTTGTAGACCAGGCTGGTCCCAAACTCACAGAGATCCGCCTGCTTCTGCCTCCCGAGTGCTGGGATTAAAGGCGTGTGCCACTACTGCCTGGCATAGATGGCATCTTGATGTGACACTTCACCTGCTGGTTTGCTGCTACTGAGACAATGCTAGTCTGTCCATAGGTAAAACTTCTGTAAATAATGATTTTAGGTGTTTCTGTGGTGCAGGATATTGAGCCCAAGGCCTTGTGTGTGCTGTATCTCCTTTATTCACTCTTGTGTAGAATTTTAAAAAGCTTGAAAGTTAGGTGGTGGTGCATGCCTTTAGTCCCTGTACTTGGGAGACAGAGGCAGGAGGATCTCTGTGAGTTTGAGGCCAGCCTGGTCTACAGAGAGAGAGAGAGTTCTAGGACAGGCTCCAAAGCTACACATGAAACTTTGTCTTGAAACCCCCCCAAAAAAAGCTTTAAAAAATTTATTTAGTGTATGTGTGTGTGAATGTAAGCATGCACATACTGTGTGTGTGTGTGGTGGGGGGGTCAGGACAACTTGCAGGAGTCATGTCCCTCACCCCACCCCCTACCCCATACCATGTGGCTTCCAGGAATCAGGCTTCAGTTGCTAGGCTTGGACAGTGAACACCTTCACTACTGAGCTATCTCACTGGCTCCAGATGTTTTTATAACATTTGAAATCTTCCAGACTAGATGATGGATAATTAAAACCTAACTCAGTGTAATATATTTATAAATGTGTGTGTGTGTATTGCTAATGATTGTCCATTGATTTCCAAATTACTACAATGCAAAAACTTGGAAAATTTGTATGTGTGTGTGTGTGGGGGGGTGTATTTTTAAAATCCTGAGTGGTTGAGAAACTTATCTGGATCACAGAACAGTAGAATATGTGAATATTGTCTTTATTTAGTAAAATATTCTTCCACTTACCAGAAAATGTATATGTATTTTGATGACTGGAGGTATATAATCAAAATCTGTGAACTGAATGAGTTCTTATTGCTAATAATTGTACTCATGACTCAAATACAGATAGATTATGTATACATGAACAATTTCTTTCTTTCCCTTTGGCCAATAACTCTTTGAATTATATTAGTTTTATGCTATGAAATGATGTACCAACAGCTCAAATTTATAGCATTTTTTTCTGTTGGGTCTCATTATATCAAATTTGGCATGTGAGGATAATAATTGATGATGTAGTTATAACATCTGACAGTAGATGGGTGGCTATAACTTGTTGCCTAAAACATTTTCCCCATCTCTGCCAACCCGATGTCAAATAGCAGGCTGGTGGTGAGTTTAGAATTGCTCTGAACACAGGCTGCACACAGCACATTTGTTTTGTTTTTTGTTTTTCGAGACAGGATTTCTCTGTGTAACCCTGACTGTACTGGAACTCACTCTATAGACCGGGCTGGCCTCAAACTCACAGAGTTCCACCTGCCTTTCTCTGCCTCCCAAGAGCTGGAGTCAAAGGCATGAGCCACCACTTCTAGGCGAACACAGCAGATTTACTAAAGGAGTGTTTGTGCTTTAACATTTGGGTTTTGTTTAAATAGAGCAGATAACAGAGTGATGCTAATATCCTCCTTGACAGGTAAATGTTGGGAAGATGGACTCACCCATTGAAAAGTGGAATCTAATCATTGGCAACTTGGCTTTAAAGCAGGTAAGTGACACATTTATTTATAGATCTGGGGTGTGAAATCTACCATTTGTTTCATGAGGCCCAAAGCAATAACTTCATACCCTGAAAAGGTGATGGCATCAGTTGATGCCATGACCTTTGAAAGTTATTTTATTTTTAAAACTGATCCACTTCTTCCAGATGTAAAACAGTGTGCAAGTACACCATACTGTAATAGAGCCAGCTTTTGTATTAATACTTATACAAAATTTAAGAATTCATTGTTTAAGTACTGTCATAGTTGCTATGAAGAAGACAACATAATCAAGGCAACTCTTATAAAAGGAAGAATTTAATTGGGGGCTTACTTACAGTTTTAGAGGGTTAGTCCGTGATTATCATGCCTGGAGGCAGACAGGTATGGTGCTTTAGCAGTGCTGAGAGCTTACATCCTGATCCTCAGGCAGCAGGCAGAGAGAGAGACTGGGCCTGGCAAGGGCTTTTGAGATATTCTCACTGTTTCTCTGCATTTATGTGTTTGTTTATTTTCGAGGGTAAGGAAGGGATGTCATGTATCCCCGGCTGGCCTTAAACTTTTCATGTAGGTGAGGATGACCTTGGACTTCTGATTGTCGTGCCTCCTGAGTGCTGGGATTACAGAGGTGCATCACCAGTCCTGTTTTATGTGGTGATCAGGATTGAACCAGAGCTGTGTGTCCACTCCAGCTGACCCCATCTCTAGCCCCATCTTTATTATTTTGGGACAGACTTCCGGTGTTGCTCAGGCTGGCCTTAAACTCAAGAGTTTTCTTGCCTCAACTTCGGAGGCATGCCATCATGCCCTGTTTTTTGTGTTTTGTTTGTATTAGTTTTAGCTTTTATTTTTTAGGTGAAATCACTGTTTCTCAGCCTGATCTCAGACTCCCAGGTTCACAGGAACACAATACCAAGACTGCCTTTAATACTTCTAAGCACATTAGTTGCTTAGTTAAATGAGCTCTTATCTGGATAATGTGGTCACTCACTTGTTTATGTTGATTTTCCTTAGTTAACGTTGTCATTGTTAATATTAATAAACCTTTCAATTACCAGTAACATTTACGATGGACCAGGACTTACATATCATCTCTGGCTCTTTCTATTTGAAGGTGTCTCCTCTGCCCCTTCATCTATTCTCTCCTAATTCTTAGGTAAATGATTTCAGTTGTCATGACTAACTCTTTAGCTACTGTGATCATCAAGAATATGTACTAATTTTAGCTTAGCTAGGCCTTAAGATTGAGAACATGGTTGTGGGAATATAGCTTCATGCATTGCATTTCAAGGACCAAAGAGTCCTGAAATAAATGCCTGTTCATATCTATGCAGTTGCTTCTAAGTTTGTAGGATTAAGAACTAAAAAAATCTGAGCCCCAACCTTACTGTAAATCTGCTTGTAACATAAACCAGTTGTAGAGCCTTTATTAACTTACATAATCACCTGGGCTTCAGTTTTGTCTTTTCAATCCTGTTTATTTTGTTAGAAAAGTCTAAGAACTGTTCAGCTTGACAGCGTAGGAATTTAGTCAGGATGGTAAAAAACGTTGACTAACAGGGTGTCTATCAGTGTTTATCGGTATATCAAACATGCAGGAAGTTTGTCCCCAGTAACAACAACAGATCAAAACCAAGACCTTACAAACATTTATCAATCAGTAGAGCAGTATAACAAATCAAGAAATCAAAAATATATTGATTTAAGCACTGAACACTCTGAAGCTGTGGCTATGTCATGAATGATTTATATAGATCACTGTTATCAATCCCCACCTCAGCCTGTGGCACTCTTTCTTCCCATAAGCTCCACCCTCCCTTGCTATCCTCTTTCCTACAACTGTTGGTTTGGGTGGTTGCCAGAGATGGCCAGGACTTTGCTGATCCTAGTTGCCAAAATGTAATGACTCTTCGGCTTCCTCCCACGAGGATATGTGGTAAACAGGGAACTTGGGCAGATATATCATGTCAGAACAGGTGCCCACCAGTGAGGCAGTGTTGGTGGGAGTGGTTGCCACAGACCAAAGGCAGAAGAGAAGATGGCAGCTGTGGGTTGGATTAGGGGAAAGGTTATTTTCTCCCTGGAGTTCCACCAGCAACGCTGTGAAGGAGATGAGTGAGGCATGCTTGTTAAGAACAGACCTGGAGGGTCAGGAGAGATGGCTCATCAATTAAGAGCATGTGCTGTTCTTCCAGGGGACTGGAGTGCAGTTCCCAGCACCCACATCAGGTGTCTCACACTATCTGTAACTTCAGTTCCAGGGAATTCATCTCTCAGCATTAGGGGCAGAGGCCAGCAGATCTCTGAGTTTGAGGTCAGTCGGGTCTACAGAGTAGTTCCAGGACAGCCAGGCCTACACAGTAAGGCTCTTGTCTCAACAACAAACAAACAGAAATGATGTGGCCCCTGATTCTACTGTACCTGTTGATGTAGATCAGGGTAATTTGAGACCCCACAGTCTAAGTGGTATCAAAACTAAAATCCAGTAGTCTCTTTAGAATGAAGGCAGTTCAGTTGCCATACACCCTTGTTTTGACTATCTTGTATGTTATGATTAACTAATAAAAATCTAATGTTTTAAAAATTACTAATCTGAATTTTACAAAAACTGTTTTCAGGTTCAGGCCACAGTGGTTGGCTTTTTAGCAGCCGTGGCTGCGATCATCTTGGGCTGGATTCCAGAAGGGAAATATTACCTCAGCCACTCTGTACTTCTGTGCTCTAGCAGTGTGGCGACTGCCTTCATTGCATCTCTTCTGCAGGGTAAGTGATTCTGTAAATGTCCTCTTAGCAGTTTTTGACTTTTTAATAAAAGGATCCATTTCCCAGGTTGGTGACTTTTAAAATGATATTTATTCATGATGAAAATGGCAGAAAATGTCCACATAAACTTTTAAATAATCTTAGTTCAGATGTATTTTTATTTTACTATTTATTTATTTATTTATTTATTTATTGTTTGTTTGTTTGTTTGTTTGTTTGTTTTAAGACAGGGTTTCTTTGTGTAGCTCTGACTGTCTTGGAAATAGCTCTGTAGACCAGACTGGCCTTGAACTCACAGAGATCCTGCCTTTGTCTCCTGAGTGTTGGGATTAAAGCGTGTGTCACCACTACCTGGTTTATTTCATTATTTATAAACACAGTGGAAAGTGGGGTTTTTAAGGTTGTTCCCCTTGGCCATAGATGCTTTGGCTCAGTCTTCAGTAAGAGCAGTACACTAGCCAAGACACTCACTATTTTCCCAAGTTAAATGAGTTAAGAAAGGCCTTCCTGGAAATCTCATAGGGGACTTTCTGGCCTGTCCCAAACAAGCATTCCAAGAATTCTCAGTTTCAAAAGCACTCATTCTTGTACTCCCAGAGGACCTGAGTTCAGTTCCCAGAACCCACATGAGGCAGCTCACAAATGCCTGTGACTATAGCCCAGGGTGAAGGCTAAACCCAACACCAGGGGCCTCTGAGGGCAGCCGAACTCACGAGTATACTCTTTATCACACAGGCATACAAGTATACACATAAAAAACAAACAAGCCCCCCAAACTTCAAGTTTCTGTGACAGTATAAATATAACATTGTGCCTATACTTAATTAACATGGCATCAAACTCAGCGATTTGCCTACCTCTGCCTCCTGAGTACTGGGATTAAAGGTGTGCACCGGCCACACCCCTCTTTATTTATTCTTTTCATGATTTAGTTATTTTTATTTTATGTGTATGAACATTTTGCCTATGTGTGTATGTTCAACATGTGCATGTGTGGTGTTCTTGGAGGCTAGAAGAAGGTGTATCCCCAGAAACTGGAGTTACATATGGTTGTAAGTGACCATGTAGATACAAGAGCTGCCAGTGTGTGCTTACAACTGAGCCATCCAGCCTTCAAAGAGTATCATTTGTAGACACAATCTTGCTATTTTGGTATTTAATTTTATTTTATTTGAGTGTCTATTTTGCTTGCATGTGTGTCTGTGTCCTGCAGTGTCAGGTGGGTGTTGAGAATTGAACCCAGGTCCCCTGGAAGAACAGATGCTTTTAACCCCTGAACATATCATCTCCCAAGAGTAATTTTTATAACCATGTCCTGTTCTGAACTCTGGTTTTCAAAATTTAATTACGTTCTGCTTCCTAACATTTCACTGTACACAATAGATGGAGCATTTTTAGTTATCATATATGAGTGTGTTTGTTGTTGCTATGCATATGAATAGGGTGCCTCTTTTTACCCTTTTTCTTCAAGGGTTAAAATGAAAATCTGTGGTTTGATATATATGTAATACATTTAAAGCATAGCATCATTAAATTCAAAATTTTAGTTTTACCGTAATTTTACAGTAAATGCAACATTGAGCCAGTGATATCTTCTGTGACCTCTTTCAGTTAGCTGAAGGGCATTTTGCCTACAGGGTTACAGTAAAATATTTTGTTTGCTTAATCAGTTTATTTGAGCATTCTATATGGAACTGGTGTGCTGTCTCCCTGTTGTGTATTTCAGTGTTTGGGGAATGGATTTTTCTGAGTAATGAGCATTCTTTCTCCTAGGAATAATAATGGTTGGTGTTATTGTTGGCTCAAAGAAGACAGGCATAAACCCCGACAACGTGGCCACACCCATTGCGGCTAGTTTTGGTGATCTGATAACCCTTGCCATATTAGCATGGATAAGTCAGGGTTTGTACTCCTGTCTTGGTAAGTTGACTTACAACTAAACTTGTCATTATTCAGTCTTTAAAGACTGTCAATGTTGTAAAATCCTTGGTAACCTTCGTCTGTTAGAAGCAGTAGTAAAATTGACTAGAACACTGTAGCTCATACATTTACTATGTGTTGTAGTTCTCTTATGTTTTTTTCTTTTACTGAGTTCAGAACTCTGAGGAAATGTTTTTCCTCTGTAAATTATTATTTTTCTTTTTTGCCCCATCCCACCTTTCTTTCTTGAGGCAGCCTTGTTCATGTAGCCCCAGGCTATCCTCAAACCTGCTATGTGGACAGTGCTCGCCTTCAACTCCTGATCTTCATATTTCTGTCCCCTAATTCCACCTCCCAAGTATTTGGTTACAGGTATGTGCTATACAACACCTAGGATCATTTGAAATTTCAGACAAGAAGACTGAGGGTCACAGAAGTTACATATGTTCCCCAGCCATTGGAGCTTAACACAAGCCTATCATACTCCATGGTTTCTGTGCTTTCTTCTTGTTGGATAGCCCGTTAGGAAGCAACTTACACTGTTTTGTTACATGTTTTGAACATGATTTTTTGTGTTTTTTTAAATTCACCAATGAGTTATTTTTCCTACACCAAAACCCCATACTAATAAGTAGCCTCAGACAATTAAAAACAAACAAAAAAAAAAACACATCCTGAAAATTAGCCTGAATACTAGGTGAAGTTAGAGTCACCTTATATACATATTCTTGATGAGTAATGATGGGAAATGTGTAGAATCCAGTGAATTGTTTCAACTGGAATGTGTGTTCTGGGACCACAGTCAGTTGTAGTGACTCTGATTCGTGAGCATGAGTTAAAGGCAGAATGTTAGTTGTGCTTTCATTTTCATGTCAAGTTTGTATGTATGTACATATACATGTATCAAATGTGCAGTTTAAAAAACACTTTCAATAATAAAACTATTTACAAGCCTATCCCAAAGCAAATATTCATTCACAAATTGCCATGGGTTCTATACAGCTTTATAGTATAATTTTGAATACATCTAAGGTATACTTAAAGTTTGAAGAGGAACTTCAGATGTATTTTTGAATCAAAGAAAGGCTTTAATCGGTCAAATGCAGTAAACTGTGTATGACTTTGGCAGTAGCATGGGAAGCTTCATTCAGTGTATGACACTGCCTTAACCTTGATTTGATGGGTATACTACTCTCTTAGTCTGTTAAACTCATCACACAGCCCACAGGCAGACAGCTGAGCAACTTGTCCTTACTCTGGGGCCCATCCAGGCTGTTCATTGTACTGGAGAAGGGAGGATGTCTATCCAGGCATGGGGATGCACACTCATAGTATCAGTGCTTGGGTAGCTCAGGGAGGCACATTGAGAGTTTGGGGCCAGCATATGAGACCCTGTCTCAAGACTCATCAGTAGGAAGCCAGTAAGAGCCTGAGCAAGTTTTCAGTGCCCCTTTGATTAACCTTTGAAGTTGGAGGAGTTTCTCTTGCTCTGAAGAGGAGATAAGAGAAAAGGGATACCCTCCTAACTGCCTTCCCTCCCTCCCTCCCTCCCTCCCTCCTTCTCTCACTCTGTCTGTCTCTCTGCTCTCTGTCTCTCTCTATCTCTCTCTGTCTCTCTGTCTCTGTCTCTGTCTCTCTCTCTCTCTCTCACACACACACACACACACAGAGGGATGAAGGGGTTGTTCCCAGAACTATTAAGAGGATAGAAATGCCACAGATTAACTGGGCATGATGGTACCTGCTTGTAATCTCAGCACCCACATGGCAGCTGTAACCTGACATGATCACAGTGTGTTGTCATCTAAAGCTTTCAATATTTGAGTGTTATGTGTGGTACCACATTAAGGTTGGGTCTTGGTGGGATCTCACTGTGTATCTGAGGCTAGCCCTCCAACTCATCCTTCCTCAACTTCCATAGTATTGGAATTACAGGTGTGAACCAGCACCTCCAACTTTGTTTTTTGTTTATTTTGTGGAGCTGAGAATTGACCTGAGACCTTGTACTGTGATACACTGATACTTTAACTGGAGTGAGGAGTAAGAGAAAATCCAGTTATCATAATCTTAGAAAACACTATTATTAAGTATTGTTTAGAATATTCTAGGCCTTTATTTGTCTTCTGAAAGTTGGCTTTGCAGTGTTACAGACCCTTTTCATTTCATTTGTGTAATTGATGCCCCCAAGGGACTTTCTTTTTAAATGGGCTACTGGTTAATTCTGCAGTTAATTTAACAGCTTACAGGTGTTCTGAAATGTCATTTTGTTTGGATTGCCAAAGTGTCTGCCTCTCGAGCACTAGGGGGCCTCAGAAGATCAGCAGTTAGGTGCCTGGCATTTCTATTCTGAATACAAAGATTGCAAGTAGGCACATTTAAATTCTCAGATCCCATTCATCTTGCTGAGAAGCCTGGTCCTTGGAAACTACTTCTGAACTACACTGGAAATACTCAGCAGTGTTCAGGGAAGAAAGGAGGATCTTTTTGGCAGTTGTAAGCTTTGGCTATAGAGGCTACATACTATATGCTCAAAGAATTGGACACAGGAAAAGTTCCATGGGCTCAGTTCATGAAGAGGGCATAGGAGTTGTAAATATATATGTGCCCAATGTCAGCGCTCCTAAATCTATGAAGGTTATTAATGAGTTGGAAGAGAAGTAGAGGAAAATACAAACACAGTGGGGATTTCAGTACCACACTTTCGACAAGGGTAGGTTAGCTGGATGGAAATGCAGTGAAGAGATGCTGGACTTGAAGTTGACAGTTTCACAGGAGCCTGACAATCTACAAAACGTTTCGTGAACAGCCTTCTCTTGTGCTTAGAACATTTTCTAGAACAGATACCATATTAAGCCATTAATAAATCTTAACAAATTTAGGAATCATGTTATATCTTTTGTCACCATGATGGAGTGAAACTAGAAAGCAGTGGCAGAGGGAAAAGTGGAAAATGTATAATATATACAAATTCAACAGTATACCTCAAACACGAAGGTGGCTCAAAGAACTCAAAATGGAAGCTAGACATTCTACTCATGATGAGGGTGGAAACAGTGTTCCAAAACCTATGGGATGCAGCACAGGCAGTTCTAAGGAGGACGTTCATAGCTATAAGCACCTGTATTAGAGAAGACGTGAGTTGTCTAATACTTCACAGCAGGAAACTGCAAAAAGGGTCTACAGAATGAGTGAATAAGGGCATGAGTGTAATTAAACCAAGTAGGAAAGCTGTGAAATAAACAACAAGATGGTTGGTTTTCCTTAAAATGAAACAAAAAGACAATATTTTATTTACCTTAGACTATGAGGAGAAAAGACTATAAACTAAATAAGACCAGAAAGGAAAACACAGACATTGTAGTTGGTACCCCAGTGCTATTATGAAGAATTACATGCCGAAACCTTAGCCTCTGACGAATGGATACATTTCTATAAACATATACCTACTGAGATTGAGTCAGGAAGAAATAGAAGACCTGATGAGACAAGTTACAAGTAGACTGGAGTAGTAATTAAAAAGAAAAGAGGTTTGCATGAGTGTGAAGCTAGCCTGGGCTTGAGTAGACCTCATCTCAGCAACCCAAATAGACACACAAACAAATGCTGAAAAATGAAAAACCCGGGAAACAAATGCTCCCAAGAAGCATTCTCACAGAACGTTCATGCTTGTTTTATGAGGCCAGCATCTCAGCCTGATAGCAACGCCAGAGAGCTACCTCAAGGAAACCATCGGCAGTGGCTCTGCTGGACAGAGCTGATGCAGCCTCAGAAAAGCACGAGTGAACTGTTAAAAGTACATCAGTGAAAACATGGCCTCTGAGATGATGCAGAGCAGGAGCGCCCACTCTCACTTCTGTTCAGCACCATACTAGAAGTCCTAACGGCAATTAGACATGAAAAGGGGATAAAAGGCATCCCGTTTGAAAAAGGAAGTTAATTATCCCTATCTTTAGATGACATGGTCCTGTGTATGTTTAAAAAAATGAAGATTCCACCAAGAGGGGTTTAAAAACTAATGAAAAGGTTTCAGAATGTGAATCAGGAATGCAAAACCCAGGTGCATTTATGTCAATAAAGACTTTCTGAGCTAGAGATCGTGGTGTGTGCCTATAATCCGGACATTGAGAAAGCTGAGCCAAGAGGATCGTAAGTTCAGATCCAGCCTGGGTTACATGGCAAGCTGTAGGCCAACCTTGTTTCATTATGAGACACTGTCAATAAATACATCTACCCGTCCATTATACATACATACATACATACACACATGTCTACCTGTGCTTGTCTGAATTGTAGCACTTCATTGAGGTGGCTTTCATGACTTTATGTTTGGTCAATGATTATAGCTTTTTATCTAAATACAGTACTCCCTCTCCCCCTTTTTAAAAACCTATTTAGTTCACAGCAGGAAGTCAGTGGACTAGGCAGTAATTAGAGGCCTGCGGCCTTATCTTTCTGTTTGAAATACAAACTTCTTGACAATACTGTGTTTTTTAATTTAATTTTTATAATACCCTTGGTGCTGTATACATAATAGATGTTGAATAAATACTGCTTTACAAAGTACATTATCCCTTTTGAAAATGATTTAGTTAATATGCTTAAAACTTAAGTGGCCCTCTAATGACTTAGGCATGGCGACTGCCCAAGAATATGACTGACTATAACAAAAGCTTCCTTTGCATGAGGACTCAGGATTAGTCTTGGCTCAGTACAGAGTTCTGGGAATTAGTAACACTTCGGAAAAGTAAAAATGGAAAGTAGACATGGCAAGAAAGATCAGATGGAAAGAGATGAACTGTGGTAATGTGAGCTCTGGCTTATGTGACTGTGATGTGCTTTTGTTGGTTTGCAGGGGAAATGCAAAGGCTGTGCCCATTCATAGGACAATCATTCCATATGCAGGCATCTTTAAGAGCTGTCAGATTCCATCACTGAGCCAGCAGTTGGAACATCTCAACACAAGGGTTGTTGGCTGTTTCTTTGTTCTTGTTTTCATATTT